CCCGAGGAGGAAAATCCCCCCGGCCCCTGGGCTGATGCTCGGCTCCTAAAAAGTTCCTGCTCGCCAAAAAGCCGCAGGAACGGCGGCGGCGATGGTTTCGCTGCTCGGTCCGGACCGAGCCCTGGCTACTCCTAGCTTAAAAAATTAAATATATATATATACACACAGGTATTTAAAAAATATTTTAGGGTTTTCTGGTACTTTGGCCGCTGGGGGTTAGGCCAAGCCTCGCAGCCCCTTTGCGGAATAAATCTGTGGCGTTTTGCTCCAGGAAAGGCTATTTTCCAAAGCGGCACAAAAAGAATCGCTCTGGGAGCGGGGATCTTCACTCCTCCATCCATGCGCGAGTTTTACCCTCATTTAAATTGTGGTTTCCTCCCTATTTAAACTGGTTTTGGGTTTTTTTCCCCTCAGCTTAGACAGTCTTTTCCCCCTTTAATTTAAGCAGTGGGGTTTTTTTGCGCCCCATTTAAGCGGTGTTTCCCTCGCAATTTAAAGGATTTTTTTCCCCATTTAAACGGCATTTGCAGCGTGGCCGTGGCTGTCCCGCGGCAGGGACGGCAGAGGAGCCGAGGGGCTCCGGGAAACGACCCCTACCCAAAACCGAATCCCCGGCCCGGGCTCGGCCGACTCAGGGGATGCAGAGAATCCCCTTTTCTCCTCTTTCCTCTCTTCTTTTGCGTCTCGGCGGTCTGGGGTAGGGGAGAAGAGGTGCAGGAATTGGGGCCGGGTGCAGGAGGAGAGGACAAACAAACAAAGTGGGAATCGCGGCACTGCCGGCCCTGCAAAGCGGTGGGGCCGATGTTTCCTCCCGGGGCACCTCCAGCCCCGGCACCGAGCCTGAACTCCGTCCTTCGTTTGGAGCAAAAATCGCCCCGTGATGTCCAGAACCTGCCGCCGCCTTTAAAGCCTTAAAGCCTTATACTTGGGTGAATATTTTCTCTCCATGAACCAGATTTCAGCCCAGCAGCTCCGGGCGAGCCCAGGGTGCATTTGTAACCAGGACGGGGCTCAGCCTGTCCCCCTTTTTTTCCTGCCAATCCTCCCAAATTCAGCGGTCCCGCAAGGTGCCATCACCTCCCTGTTCTCTGCCCAGCTGCATGGATTCCCTCTCCCTTCCCTCGCAAACAGCCGACGAACAATTTTCCCGGAGAAAAGTTTCTGCAGAGCTGATGAGGGTGGGATGGGAGAAAGCACCGGGGATAAATCGCTCCGAGGGGCGAGCTCTGACCCCAAACCCCCCGAGCTGTTCCTGTGGCTCTCCCTGCCCCGACTGCCACAGGGGGAGGCCGGGCAGGGGCTGGGGGGTCCCGGGATGCCGAAGCCCCCGGCCCGGGGCGAGCAGCGCCCGCATCCCGCCCCACGTCCCCCGGAGCTGTGGATGCGGCCCGGGGCTCCCCGTCTGCACTGCTGGGGTTTGAACGATTTCCAAAATAATAACCCAAATAACAACAACCGAATCAAACCCCGCCGAACGGCTTGTTCGTTTCTCACCGGAGCACGGCAAATCCGTCATTATTTTATTACTATTCTGTTTTGGTTTGTTTGTTTTGGTTTTTCTTTTTTTTTTTTTTTTAAAAATTTTTTTTCCCCGCAAGCAGAAATCCTCTCTGCTGCTCCTTTCCCGGCGGGTGGAGCGGCACAGCCGGATCTCTGCGGCGGAAGGCGGCCCCGGAGCATCCCCCGGGCTCGTTCCGTGAAGCGCCGATTGCCCCAACCCCTTCCACCGGGCCGAGCTCCACCGAACCCCCAAGTTTCCCCAAGTTCCTCGGTCATTTCGGGCAGCACCGACACCGTGACCTGCCCTGAGCAGGGCTGGGATCCCAGAGCACCGTGAGGCTGCGGGTGCCCACAGCCCAGCGGGCTGAGCCGCTCTTACCTTTGTACTCCGAGTCCGAGGAGGAGCTGCTGGTGTTTTTTTCCATTTTCTCCCTAAAATCCTCGCCGGGCTTGGTGGGGATCCTGCCCGCCGGCTCCTGCCCGCCGTGAGGTCCATTGGTGCTGGAGTAAGGCGCGCAGGCTGCCAGGGGCTTGCAGTCGGCCAGGATGTCTCTGATGAGGAAGGAGGAGGTGACGGTGCGGGACTGCGAGGGAGCCGAGCCCTGCCCCGGCTGGA